AAAAATAATTAGTAGAATATATAAGAAGCCATTAGCATGGTTATCTTTGTAAAGGATAATAGGAGGTAGGGGGGACTTTTATTTGTATGTATTTTCATTATGCGTTACTTAACATATATGGGTATGATGTGCATATATTAATTTTATTTCTCCTATCAATACATTATCTGGGCAATAAGATTATGGCCTGTTTTTGTTTTCTTATTAGTGTCTATATGTTTAATGAATAATCATTTTGAAAATGTACAATAGCAAATTTAAAAAAACAAGTAATGCATAGGCCCTTTCACTAAGAAGTCTGTTTCCAGGGAATTTATCCTTCAGAAACACTTTTATAAGTGTTTGTAGTAGCAGAAAACTGGAAACAACTTTAACCACATCAAGAGGGATCTCACTGAAAATTGCTGGCACATCTATAACATGGAATACCAGGCTTTCATGAAAAAGGTAGAATGATATGAGCTGATATGATGATAATGAAAAATGCCCAGGATACATTGTTCAATGAAAAGCAAAACAAAAGCTGTCGAATTATATATCTTATGACCTATTCAGTTAAATAAAAAGGCAATAATAAATATATATGTAAGGACAAAAAGAGAAAGTCTTGTGTTTGCATGTGCATATAGTGAATCTTTATAAAGTATACACAAGCTGTTAGAGGAAGAGGAGGAGGAAGGAGGCAAGAGAAGTTGCTGGAGGAGAAGGTGAGCACGGCAGCCTCCCTGGTGCTGGGTGAGGATGCAGAGCCCAGCCGCCTCTGGAGATGGGTCTTCCTATGTTGCCCAAGCTGGTCTTCAGCTCCTGAACTCAAGTGATCTGCCCACCTCAGCCTCCCAAAGTGCTAGGATTACAGGCATGTGCCACTGAGCCCAGCCGACCACCTCATTCCATCATGCCGGAAGTGAATTCCTAACACTTCTCACAGTCTCCTGCAGATATTCACCAATGTAGTCTACAGTAGAATCTAAGATCCTAGAAGAAAATGGCTCCAAAGTTTAAATGAAGTTGGAAAAATACATAGATGCAGCCTTGCAGCCTCTCTAGGTGTTTGGGGATAATATTCCAGACAGAAATTTGATCCCTTGGATTAGATAACTAGTCATAATGAAGAAAATTAATCTTAAAACCTTCCAGAAATCTTTTAACTTGAATAAAAGTAAAGAAGAAGCTGATTTCATGGTAGTACAACCACCATCGCTAGCCAGGGACTTTGGAAAAGATGATTCCTTATTTGGTAGCTGCTATGATAAAGATATGGCCAGCTGCGATATTAACAGTGAAAATGATAAAGGTGGAAAAAAAACAGATCAAAAAGCGAAAGCCTGATGGGTATGTTAAAAAGGCCACTTTCTGCCAAACAGAAGCCAAAAGGCAAGGCGGGCACGCCCTCTGGGAGCTCTGCTGGTGAGGACACCTTCTCCTCCTTGGCACTGATAATCTTTAAAGATGTGAGCGCTGAGAGGCCGGTACGGGCCACCTCCCTCTGCAGCCATCACTGCAGTCCTGCGCCGTAGCCTCTTTGGCTCACAAACTCGGAGGAGACATGCATCAAGATGGGCTGGAAGAGGGAACCAAGGCCTTGACTCTCACCTCCGAGTCCAGCCCTGAATGGCATCCAGAAGGATTTCCGCGACCTTCAGTCTGAGACTTCGTGCCATGAACAAGCCAATCCACTGAAGAGCTCAGCTTCTCAGAATGTAGACCTGCATCTTCACCTGGAAGAACATGAGCCTGTTGTTATTGGACTTACGCCTCAGGACAACATTCAATATACTGTGCCTTCAGATGAGGGGATGTATCCTTTGGAAGAATCACATAGCTATTGTCTGGTCAGTTCTTCTCCCATGAAAGTCTCTGTGGTTCCTCCTGAAGGGGAGGGTGCTCTTTCCCTGAAGATGAGTCAGGTAGACCAGGACCTAGTTGTTGCCCCAGAGATCTTTGTGAATCAGTCCATGAATGGATTGTTGATTGGCACCATGGGAGTCATGTTGCAGAGCCCAAGAGTGAGTCCCCATGATGTCCCTCCACTCTCGTCATTGCCACCTCCGGTGCAGAGCAATCAACTCCAAAAGAACTTCACTGGACCTACTGGTACACAGCCCATGTGGCTGAAAGTATGCTCTGTCATTTGAATTTTGATCCTAGCTCTGCTCCTGAGGTAGCAAGAGTTTATGACTCATTGCAAAGTAGTGGCCCCATGTTAGTGACAAGCCTTTCAAAGGAGCCGAAAAAACTTGCAAAACAAGGATGGTACTGAGAGCCAATCACACGTTGGGAGGCAGAAAGGAAGCTAGCAAACGTTCCAGATGGTTTTTTTCTTGTTTGGGACAGTTCTGACACACTTCATATTACAATTGAGCACTCAAATGGCAGGTTTAACTTTTATGAACAACCAGATGTAGAGGACATACATCCATAGTTGATCTATTAGCACTCAATCAGGGACTCTGAAAATGAAGCTTTTTGTTATTCAAGGTCTCAGCTGCTTAGATCTGCAACTTACCTCGTCAGACTGACCAAGCCGGTGTCCCGGTTCACGCAGGCGCGCTCACTGCAGTACCTGTATCGTTTTGGTATGTCATTATACCAGAATAGACTTAATTCAGAAACTGCCTTTGCCAGACAAAATGAAGGATTATCTATAGGAGAAGCACTACTGAAAGAAAGATTGAGAACCCTGCATCTTGCACTTTGGAAATAAGAAAAAGATTGAAATACAGTTTACAAACTTTCAGTGCCATCAAAATCTTTTGCTGCCTTAGCTATTTCAGTTTTATGTGTAAAAGAGTCATGAGTTTGTTTAGGGGCGGGGAAGCGTCAGCAAGGTGTCTTGGGTTTATTTTGGTTCTTTAAAAAGGGGATTCTTGAGGTTTTAGGGGTGTGAATTATCTTTTATCAATGTACAGAATAATCACAATGTGAATTTCAAATTCTTCTTAATGCCCGCCATCCCACCTAGTTCTTTGCTGCTATCCACTGTGATTTTTATTCATTAAACAGAATGGAAATCTCGATGTCTTTTTAAATGCCTCATTTTCAAAAGATAGTATTGAATAAATATACCTGTGTAATAAAACACAGAACTAACGTATATACTGAAGGTGAATTTTTAATCTGTTACTTTAAAAAGATTTATTTAGAATCATAAATTGACATAATCTTGGGTAATTGAATGGTAATCTACAATATATCTTCTAACAACACTTTTTTTCTAAATTATTTCTTAGGTTGTGCTAATTTTATTGGTTGTGAAAAGTTGAATTTTTCTGTTGTCTTCATTTTCATCTTATAGTTTGTCTATTTTGACAAATGACCTTACATTAAAAAATTGTAAAGAAATGTATACCATCGATTTAGAAATTGTTGCCTTCTTTGTCATTAAACTCAGGTACAAATTGGCCTAACATGAAAACCTATGGAACTAGAATTATTGTTAAAGAAATATTAGATGATAATAAAAGAGGAAAAAGTATACACAAATGTGGTTACCTCTGGAAATGGAGATGGTGAGGGGACTTTTACCTCTTTCTTTTGTATCATTCTGAAAGAGAATTTATTTGCCATGATCACGTATTATTCTTCTATAAAAAGTTAACGCTGTTTGACAAGAGAATAAATTATTTGACATGTGAAGTTTGTGCAGTTCAGCCTCCTACAGGCAGTAGCCTGGATCCAGTTACCTTTCCTGTCTCTTCTGGCCGTCAGAGTCATACTTCTGAGTCAGCAAAAGCGTGGGCAGTCTCTGAAATGACTGTATCTACCACGGAATAGATCTGGAATTTGATGGTGTAAGGGGAATTTGAACTCATATAGCCTAACAGTCCCCTGCCTCCAAGGGAGGAGAAATAGAGGCTCAGAGAGGTAATATGGCAGTCAGTCAGCAAGAGAATGACACAGCCAGATCAGGCCTGGCTCAGTGGACTTCCCAGTGTTACCCCCATCTACCACCTTATGTCATTGTGAAACAGGATTAATGAAAAGCAAAATAAGATTATATATTTTGAATGTAGATAAGCTGATCAGTTCTTTATCCTTCTTTCATAGCCATACCAACCTTCCCCATGAATAAAAGGAAGCAGGGTTCTGCTATCATCTGCAAAAAGCTCATTTTTTGTAGATTAGAAAACCATATTTACTGTGTGTTCATTGGAAAAGCTTCTTGGGGCTTTATCTTGTCTCCCTTTGTTTTCCACTAATTGTCGCTCTTCTGGGGCAGACACAAAACGCTGTCATTGAAGAGCACTTATTAATTACATTGTATTGACTTAGACTGAGTTGATTCAAGAAAAAATTTAGCATTTTCTCCTTATTAAATTTGACTTAAGAATGATTTTTACCCTGGTAGAGTTTGGAGCTTTTAAGATGTTCAGCATGGGACCCAAAATGGGAGTTAGCTAAATAAACCCCGGGAACTCTTTATTTTATTTTGTCAGAATTCATTCTGGAATTGTACATGAGAAATAGCGCAGTCAAGTATATTTTAAAACAAGGCTTAGGGCTGTCTAACCAGGCTCAGAATGACAAGACAAGACAACTGACCAAAGAGAGGGATCTGGCAACCAGCTGCCCCTTTTTATTTTCATGTCCCCAGAACCTCATCTGAATGTTTTAATCTGTCAGCATGTATTTGTCTATTTACATTACATATGTCTCTCTTTATCATCCTGTTTTCCCTCTCATTTTAAAACCTCATATTTATCCCTATTTACCCCAAAAATCTAGGAAGCTCACAGAGGCATATTAAATGCACACATTAGAACATGGATAGATGAAAATGTTTCCGACCCAGTCAGACCATGGCACAAACACCACAAGATGAAATTTAATGTGTCTCCTAATTAAGACCATAAAAGTCCACAAACAGCAGAGTAGGATACCAGGGGTTTCTGAGGCATGTGATACAATGTTAGACAGTCTCTGTTTGGTGAAACTTTTTTCTTCTTTCGGAGTAATGTGACTTATGAAATACCAAGATTACCTGGCTTCCTCTCTTTCAGGTGAACGGCATTGACCTCCGTGGTGCATCCCATGAACAGGCAGCTGCTGCACTAAAGGGGGCTGGACAGACAGTGACGATTATAGCACAATATCAACCTGAAGGTCAGTCAGAACTCAAACTAATAATGTTCTAAGTCTCTGTGTGGATCTGTACCCTCATGACTCATCATTTGTATTAACTAGAGGAACCGGCATTAGTGTTTTGTAAACCTACCTACCTGTAGTGAAAAATTGACAGTTCGTGTCCAAAGAACATGAACTGTGTTTTTGTTAGCTCTAATCTTCCAGGAGAACATCAGGCAGTTAGAAAGGCCTATGAAAATATGAATTCAAATAAATAGCAACCAGCATCCGCTTTATTTTGTTTATATTCTTATCTGGCACACACTTTTATTCACCAATAGATACTGTAAAAACAGTTAAGCAAGAAGGAGAGGTTTCATCTACAGAAATAGACCAGTAGACCATATTCTTTCCTCATGGTATTAACTTAATTCTCATTAACACTGACATGGCTTTTGGATGTCCTTGACCAGGATTTTTTTTTTTTTTTTTTTTTTTTTTTACCTTTTCTGCTACAAGATCCCTTGTTTGAAATACATCACTGTAAACCATGAAACTCAGTGAGATCTCATAAATTGGATTAGCCAACTGAAACTTGATGAGATGTCCTAAATTGGATTATCCATGCCCTGCTCTTTGGTTTATTTAAACATCTGCTTTTGTGTTCAAAGTCAGGCTCATTGAGACAGCTGGGATGTTACTTATTGTGTGGTTGATTTCTTAGAAAATTTATATATAGATTGCTCCTTTGGAAACGAAACATACCTAATGTAAGCACACAATTATGGGTCATATCTTGCTATCAAAAAAAGAGAAATATGTCTATTGTCTTCAAGAAATGAATTCGTTTTGATCCACATGGCTGAACAAAGAGGAGTATTAAACTGCTGAATATGAGTGTCTAAGATGCCATCAAGGAAGCGCCTCTGTGCATATGAATATAAGGAGCTCCTTTTCAAGTGATGAGTTGTTACCATCAGTTGTTGTTTGGAAGACTGAGGTTTGTGTTTTGCTTGTGACAGCTTAGATTCTACCATTAATGGTGGCCAATCACATGTTCTGCCCAAAAATAGAGAAAACATTTCTTCCATGCATGTTTTGACATGTTACTTTCAGTGGTGCCTGGCTTTAGAATTAAAAGTTGCAATTAATTTATTCAAAAGTTTTAATAAATGTTTTTTCCTATGTGGCCTAGGCCAGATATGGCCAGAGAGAGGGGATTTGTGATGGTCACAGATGGATGATGACAACACCAAGGAAACAGTCTCTTCTCAGATAGTTTTGAAAAGTCTTGCCATTTGTTCATTATTAGTAGACTTGTATTTCAGTAGAAATAAATGCTTTGAAAAGTATCCATTATAAAGCTGAAAATTAAAAGACATACTCTAGCACCATTTGATTAGCAAATTCTACTTCACATAGAGTAAGAACTTTTTCATTGGAATCATCTGTTTTCTTAGTAGCTGGTTTTTTTTCGGTCTCAAACTATATGCCCTTCACCAGCACCTGACTAGCAGCATAAATGTACCTGTTTTCCTATTTCTGAAAAATCTCATCTCAAACAATTTTGCAGACTGATAAGATGGTTAGAACCATAGACACAGCAGTTAGAAGCCCTTGGTAGTGATCAAGTGTTCAACTAACCTTGAACAGAATGATTTCAAGCTTTAAAGCTTACAAAAAAAAGACAAACATGTCCTGTTCTATCAATGTAAATCTTCATCTTTCTACCAGGGCTTTCTTGCAGCTTGGTTTCCTTTAAGTAATATATTTAATTTGGATACTATGCTGTACTTTATCAAGATGTTTGTTCAAAGGATGTCCTATAAATCATATAAATTGTTTCTTAAAGTGCTTGTAAGTAAATCCACAAACAACAAGCCTTTTACAAAATGCCAAACTACTGATTGGATTCACAGAATGACTTCTCTGTTTTAATAGTCTAACTGTATACTAATTTTTCACAGCTTTAAATTATCTGGAAATGTGGTAATAACATCAACCCATCAGATCTTTTTCTCTCCTTTCCAAACTTGGTGTGTAACTGAGTCTTACTTTAACTGCAGTTTTCAATGAAAAATTGATGGAATTGTTGTTTAGAGACATTTAAATTATACAACAGTTTTAGGAAAGAATGAACAATTTACCTTTAACAAATGAAATGAAGAGTGTGTCATGATATTCCATTAGGAAATTCTCACCAAGTCCCCTTCATCTGCACCAGTATTGTAAGTTGTTCAACCCTTACGATAGTGCTGAGAGAAGATTTTACTGACATTTCTTTGGGTATGGTCAAGAATTAGGCTTTCAGTAAATATGTTTTCAGTCATAATCAGATGCTTTATCAAAAATGTCCTAAATGTATTTCTTAGTATTACTGGTTACTCAGAAAAATCTGCCCCTAACCCCGAGTAATAAACCTAGTCTGTCTTCAAGGAATTTTTTAATTTTAATGAATAAAAGGGATTTTTATACATTTAATAGAGCGTAGTAGGCCGGGCACGGTGGCTCAAGCCTGTATTCCCAGCACTGTGGGAGGCCGAGGCGGGTGAATCACGAGGTCAAGAGATCGAGACCATCCTGGCCAACATGGTGAAACCCCGTCTCTACTAAAAATGCAAAAAATTAGCTGGGCATGGTGGCGCGTGCCTGTAATCCCAGCGACTCAGGAGGCTGGGGCAGGAGAATTGCCTGAACCCGGGAGGCGGAGGTTGCGGTGAGCTGAGATCGTGCCACTGCACTCCAGCCTGGGCAAAAAGAGCGAAACTCCGTCTCAAAAAAAAAAAAAAAAAAAAAAAAATAGAGCGTAGTTCCTGGTAACATATGACCCAGTTGAATGATCCTGGCAGCAGTATTTCTAAGAATTACGGAATGTCAGAGAAAAGATAAGCCTGCAGGGATCAGGACAGTGCAAGAGTGTACCACGGAAGTCTGGAAATGGAGCCAGACCTTGAAAAATGGGTTAAATTTCTATTCAGGAGTGGAGGGGGAAAGAATATCTTGCTAAACTACAAAATTGTGAGTTCCATGCATGCAGACAGCATACTTACATTTTACTCACTGATAGCTCTATCTCTAGTGTCATACTCGGTATTTCTCAAAGAGTTGCTGAACTAATGGATAAAAGCTGACGATTCTTTAGTACTTGAGTTTTCATGTGAAGATAATTGAAGGTTGAAGGGATTCTTCATTTTCACTACTGTGCTTTTCATTTTTCCTCAAAGACTTAAAGGAATTGCTGAAGAAATGTGTATTGCAAAATATCAAACTATTTCCAGCTGTGTTCCTCATAGGGCTTAGTATATTTTGTGATAATTATAAATAATTTATAAAATTTGTAATTATCACAATGTAACAATAAATGCCTTTGGCAAGTTTTACTTCACAAAGCAAAACCACAATTATACTCACTTCTGCTTAAAATAAGCTTGGCTCCAGTTGCCCACAGGACTCTATCCATCCTCAGTCTTATTCAGTGTCTGGTTTACAGGAGTAGAATTGACACCAATTTAAAAGTCATATACGATGTTTTTCTCTGGTGGTGTGATTGTGATTCATTTTTGCCATCTTTTAAAATCCAGTTTGTATAATTTTCTTACTTTAAAGTTAACAGGTATCACATTCGTAAGAAGAAGAAAATGATGAAATTGTTGTTTTTCTTTCAAGAGGATTACATATATTATACTTCAATAATAATCCCATTTAAGCACTATGCAAAGTTAATTCTTGTAAAAACTTTAATTACCTATATGCAGTTAATGAAGTTACTATAATGCCATTTCACACAAGGACAGTGGCATTAGAATGCCATACACACATGTACACACACAGGTACCCCTTCCCATTCCTTACCGTTCCCAACCATCTTCCCCTTTGATTTCAGAATTATCTTTCTAAGAGATATGACACCAAGATCCCTGTGCACAAACCTCTTGCCCTTCACAGTATATTCCCAGCCAACTTTCATGCTCCATTCTCCATTCACCCCACCACTCCCCACCAGTATCAGTCTTTTTCATTGTCCCCCTACTGCACAGGACTGCTCTCTGCTCTTACGCTTGCTCCTGAACTGTGCTCTTCCTCTGTGGATTCCTCTACCCAGAATTGCCTTTCTCCCTTTCCACCTGCAGGATTCCTACTCATCTTGAGAGCCCTTATATGTCAATTCCGCTATAAAGCCATCTTTAATCTGCTCAGTCAATATTAATTGTTTCTTTATCTGAGCTCCCCAATGCTGTACGTAAACACCTGGTGTGCCCCTTATCACAGTATGCACATCTCTCCACTCAAGGGAGCTCCTAGACAGCAGAGACCCTTCTGTCACTCATTTTATATCTTGTGTTAATCCATGCGGTGTGAATTTGACTATAGTTTATTAATGAGTTATTAAATGAGTCTGCTATTAATTTACAAATGCAATATAATGTTTTTAGTATGTTGACATATATTAATAATAGGTGCCTAAGAAATGTTTGCTGAATAAACATTAAAGGAATGGCATGGGGTTTTTATATTAGATGGAGAGATGGTAACTGAATCCCTGGTTTGGACATTTGCTGTTGACACAGTTTTTAGATGGTGGCTTTTTGTTTTCAGTTATAAAACCTTTAGCAATCCTCATAGATAAGCTCCCTTTCCCCTGCATTGCAGAAAATCCACAGCTGTTGTTTTGGAGTATAGCACAATGACAAGATGATTAAAGCACTAACATTTTTTTCAAGTTCTGAAACTCAACTTTGACACCATTGATGAATAAAAAGGGCATTGATTACAACCTAATTACACATTTTTCAAGAAAGATAACACAGCATTTCCCCAAGTAAGATCAGGGTAAATCTGATCTGTATTTGCTGTCTTCTTTCTAATAATATCTATATTTATTGTGAGATAACTGACTAGGTTTTAAATAATAAGCCACTGGACATTCACTTGAAGAACTAGATAGACAGTAGAAAGTACTGGATAAAGCTCAAAATGGAGTTGATTAAGAGCCAAGTGGTCCCCAGGAGAACCAAAAATTCTTTTGCCTTTAATATGGC